AGAGACTCTTCTTCCAGATTCTTCTTCCTGCCCTGCTTGCTGTGGGCCCCAAATTACTACTAATGCGGAATGAGGAAGTAACAGATGATAAATTGTCCCTCATGCTTGTGCTTGGGTCTCAGAACTCTGGAGAAGGATCTCCTCTGAGCCCACTGTATAAAATAAAACTCTGATCCACCAAGATCTCCAAGTGCCACTTGGTTTTTCCGGCAGCAATCCAGCCTGGTTTCACAACAGTGGAATCATGAGTGATTTTTATTTTTTTCTCTATTATGCAGATTTTCTATAATGAATATATTACTTTTTTAATCAGCAAAAGTATATCTCTAGGATCTAGAAGTCTCTTGACTGTTTTTTATGAACAAGTAGGCAGTCAGCATTTTACAGAGCATATGGGAAGGAAGTGTAGCCTCCATTAGCACTCTACATAAGAGAAATATTAGCATTTGCAACAGCAAATGAACTCAGTCATGGGGTTCTTCAACAAACCCCTGCAGAAAGACAGGGGTTAAGAAAGCTAAGTGTTCTAATTTTCTGTTGCTATGTAACAAACTATTCCAAAACTTAATGGCTTACAACAGTAATTTACATCTCTCATGGTTCTGAGGGTTGACTGAATCAGCTGGTCAGTGCCCCTCAAGTTTTTCATGCATTTGTGATCAGGGATGAAAGCATGTGAAAGAGGCCAGACAGGGTTAGACGTGTCCAACTCCTTAGTTGAAATGGCTGGAACAACAAACAAGGGTCTAGGGGTAAGGAGAAAAGCAATGTGGGGGTCCTGGCCAGAAGAGAGACAATTCTTTTGGCCATTCTGATTAAGGGTTCTTCTTTCTTCCTTAGTGGGGAAGAACTGGATGTTAGAGTTAATAAATCCATTAATAGTGTGTGTAGTTGTATATATTTAATTGTTTAAATTGACTGAATGAATACAGTTTTCATTCCATATCATGAGCTCAAAAATTATTAATAAGCCTTTATCTTATATATACAAAGTCCCCAGTTAAAGAACTACTTGAGATATGGTTATAGGTTAAGTTTCAATATAAGATTCCCATTACTTTATTATTTCAGTTAAGATTCTGGCACCTAGAATGGGAAAATTAGGTGTCCATTTTTCTCTTTTAGTAGGTCTAAGGCACCATATTGGGTCTCAAGCTTACTGAAGCATACAGTGGTCACAAGCAAATCTTACATGGGAATCCTACTTGGCACTTAAATTCACGAACAATTCACTTAAAATAAAGGTTAGCTAGGTTCTACTGAAACTTGAAGATTAAAAAAAGCACAGTCTCTTTACAGTTCAGATTCTAAAGCACATTCTAGGGCAAATTTTATCTAGGATAGTTCTTCCTAAGGTTGTACAACCCAATTTTCAACCCAGTTTAAATCTTGGGAGTATCTAGAGGCTAACTAATTATAATTTAGGTGAAACTTGATTGTTGTAAAGGATTCTTAAAAAGATTAATTTTAATTAATATTCTATGATATTGATGAAAGAGGCTACTGAGTTCTCTAGCTTCCTTTCCCTGTATTTATTTATGGGACTTCTCGGCGCAGTGGCAATTAAATATTGAAATAACCTCCCTTTGATACATAAGAAAAGCATTTATGTATGTCCAAACACTGGGGTGGCCAGAGCAGGGATGCTGTTGTCCACCTCTGTACAACAGTATTCTGCCTTTAATCACTGAAAGGACCGTGGCTGCTCAGGGAATGTGGTCTGAAAGGAACTACTGTTCCTATGACCTGAGGGGCTATGTCAGGATTCTCTTCCCATTGGTTGGTACCCTGTCATCATTTTCTAGTAGCCCTAGAGCAGAATAACTTTTCTTTAAGTTAAAAATACAAGAGGTTGAAAGTGTCCACATAGTCAATTCTTTTTTTTTTTTAAGTGTTTTGTTTTTTATTATTGAGAGAGAGAATAAGTGGGGGAGGGGCAGAGAGAAAGAGAGAGGGAGACAGAGAATCTGAAGCAGACTCTACAGTGTCAGCACAAAGCCTGGTGTAGGGCTCAAACCCACAAACCACAAGACCATGACCTGAGCTGAAGTCAGATGCTCAACCGACTGAGCCACCCAGGTGTCCCCACACAATCCATTCTAATCAGACATCTCTGAGGGTAAACTCTTAATTTGCTAAGCAATTAAAATGTAACTGACATGGGGCACCTGAGTGGCTCGGTCGGTTAAGCGGCCAACTTTGGCTCAGCTCATAACATTGCGGTTCACGAGTTTGAGCCCCAAGCTGTGATCTGTGCTGACAACTCAGAGCCTGGAGCCTGCTTCAGATTCTGTGCTTCCATGTCTCTCTCTAGCCCTCCCCTGCTTACGCTCTGTCTCTCTCTGTCAAAACTAAATAAAAAAGGGGCGCCTGGGTGGCTTAGTCAGTTAAGCGTCCGACTTTCGCTTAGGTCATGCTCTCGCGGTTCATGGGTTCGAGCCCCGCGTCGGGCTCTGTGCTGACTGCCAGCTTAGAGCCTGGAGCCTGTTTCAGTCTGTGACTCCCTCTCTCTCTGACCCTCCCCTGCTCACACTGTCTCTCTCTCTCTCTCCTAGAAATAAATAAAAATATTAAAAAAAAACTAAATAAAAAAAACATTTAAAACATTAAAAAAAAGTAGCCGACATAGTAACTACATCAAGGGCACCTGAGTGGCTCAGCTGGCTGATCATCCAACTTCAGCTCACGTCATGATCTTGTGGTTTGTGAGTTTGGGCCCCACATGGGGCTTGCTGCTGTCAGCTTGTCAGGGCAGAGTCTGCTTCAGTTCCTCTGTCTTTCTCTCTCTGCCCCTCTCCCACTTGTGCTCTCTCAAAAATAAAAATAAACATTAAAAAAACCAGTAACTACATCAGAGTAAGAAGAGTCCTCAGTGGACCCAGATTCTATTTTTTTTGTCATAAAAGAATTTTAATACCAGGAAACAGTACATGCCCAGCAGAGGGAAAAAATGGACAATACAGAATTATATAATTTCAGTTATAAGATAAGTAAGTCATAGGGATGTAATGTACAGCCTGGAGAATGTAGTCAGTAACACCGTATTGTATATCTGAAAGTTGCTGAGAATAGACATAAAAGTCCTTATCACATGATGGGGATTAAAGAATGCACTTGTTTCAAGCTGTAGGTGATATACGGAATTGTTGAATCACTGTATTGTACACCTGAAACTAATACAGCACTGTATGTTAATTTTACTGGAATTTAAAATAAAATTTTAAAATTAATTAAAAGTTCTTATCACAAGAAAAAAATTATAACTGTGTGGTGGTAGATGTTAAGTAAACACACTGTGGTGATAATTTTGCAATATATACATATATCAAATCATTATGTTGTACACTTAAAACTAATACCATGTTATAGATCAATTATATCTTGATAAAAATAACAAAAAAGAAAAATAAATGATCCAATTTGGTATATTCCTTTCCTAATTGTTTTCCATGTATGTATAAAAAATACATATCTTTTAAGAAAAATAAAATTGGGATTTAAAAAAAATTTTTTTAATGTTTTATTCATTTCTGAGAGAGAGAGAAAGTGAGAGAAAGAGAGAGAGAGAGAGAGAGAGAGAGAGAGACAGCGTGAGCAGAGGAGGGTCAGAGAGAGAGGGAGACACAGACTCTGAAACAGGCTCCAGGCTCTGAGCTAGCTGTCAACACAGAGCCCGACGTGGGGCTCAAACCCACAAACCGTGAGATCATGACCTGAGCTGAAGTCAGACACTTAACTGACTGAGCCACCCAGGCGCCCCAAAAATTGGGGTTATATGTTAAATATCAGTTGTCTCTTTTTTTTTCATTTAATATATTACAAACATGCCCCTAAGTCATTAGTCTTGATATTTATAAAATATGATATGTAAATGAATGTATAACCTTTAATAATATGGGTGTGCCCTAATTTATTTAACCCTGTATCTATTGTTGGACATTTTTTATTATTTTAAATATTGTGCTATAATAATAATAACACTATTAATGAGAGCCAATATTTATTAGTGATACTCTACCAGGAACTGTTACAAGCACTTTCAATATATTAATTTCCTTAGTCTTTATAAAAACTCTAAGATCTGATGTGATAAATTGGTTAGGGATCAGAAAACTATGACCCATGAGCCAAATCCACTCTGCCACCTGTTTTTGTAAATACAGTTTTATTGGAACACAGCCACTCCACTCATTGATTTACTGTCTAAGGCTGCTTTCATGCCATAATAGCACAGTTGAGTGGTTGTAACAGAGGCTGTATGGCCAGCAAAGCCAGAAATATTTACTATCTGGCTCTTTATAGAAATAGTATGTCAACCTTTGAATTGTAAATATTCATTCCCTCCCCCTGCCCCACTTTCCCTGCCTTACTGATGTTGGGCTTGGCCATGTGACTTACTTTGGCCAATGTTTGTTAGTAGATATGATGCAAATAATTGGACATAATTGGACTTGCATTCTTATATTTTAGACACTATCAGGAGAAAAATAGGTCCCTGGTAGTCCACTGATCCCAGGAGATTAAGTCACATTGCAGGCAACCTGAAGCAATCTCATGGCCTGGAATGAAGGGCAGCCCAGAAAAGCTGAACACCAGCTGACCTGCAGATGTATGACTCATTAGATGTTACTGATACTCATTACATGCTCACTAGATGTCACTAAGTTTTGGGGTAATTTGTTATTAGCACTGTTGTGGTAGCTAATCAATACTGGAGGGAATTATTATTCTCTCCGTACAAAAACTCTTATGAGTGGAGGACTATTCTTTTTACGGACAGAGAAACTGAGGAAAATAGAGGTTAAAGCAAGACTGTAATAGTAGTAAGTAGGACAACCAGGATTTGACTTGAGGCAACCTGTTTTTTTTTTTTAATTTTAATGTTTTTTATTTATTTTTGAGAGTCAGAGAGAGATAGCGCAAGCAGGGAAGGGTCAGAGAGAGAGGGAGATACAGAATCCAAAGACAGGCTCCAGGCTCTGAGCTAGCTGTCAGCACAGAGCCTGAAGTGGGACTCGAACCCACGAATCATGAAATTATGACCTGAGCCAAAGTCAGATGCTTAACCGACTGAGCCACCCAGGCACTCCATGAGGCAACCTGGTTTTAGAGTCTGTCCTCACTTTACTCTATTGCATATTGTATTAAATATGCAAATACTTGCCAGGGTATTTGACTGTTTCTTCAAGAGAGATTTCAGTTAGTAGAATTTCAAAGGGGATGTAGTTTTAAAAGGTTTATGGTACATACTGTTACAATGCTTTCCAAAGGGCTTACAACAATTAACATTCACTGTTTTTTTTTCAAATGCACTTATTTTACCTTCCCCCTCATATCCAATTTTATATGCAAATTACAGTTTTAATTTCATTTCTTTGACAATGGCCTTGATACTTTTTCCATACTCTCTGAATCTTTAGCATTAGTTGTGGCAAAAACTAGTCTAATTTTAAAGTACCCCAAATTGGGGCGCCTGGGTGGCTCAGTTGATTAAGCGTCCAACTTTGGCTCCAGTTATGATCTCGCAGTTCATCAGTTTGAGCCCAGCATCAGGCTCTGTGCTGACAGCTCAGAGCCTGGAGCCTGCTTCAGATTCTGTCTCCCTCTCTCTCTGCCCTTCTTCTGCTCGCACTCTGTCTCTCACTCTCAAAAACAAATAAACAGGGGTGCCTAGGTGGGTCAGTTGGTTAAGTGTCTGATTTCGGCTCAGGTCATGATCTCACAGTTTGTGGGTTTGAGCCCTGCATTGGGCTCAAGCTCGATGTGCTGTCAAGCTGTGCTGACAAGCTCGGAGCCCGCTTCAGATTCTGTCTCCCCATCTCTCTGAGCCTTCTATGCTTATGCTCTGTCCCTCTCTGTCTCTCAATAATAATAAACATCAAAAATATATTAAACAATAAACAAAAAATTTTTTAAAAATTAAGTACCCCAAGTTAAGGATGACCTCAGTTAAATTCAGATATCTTAAGAGCTACTGGGGTAGCTAATGTGGTTAAATGCTTTGACTTAAGTAAATTATTCTAAAGAATAATTAGAAGCACAGAGGAATATAAGATGGGCCTTCAGGTTATATGAGTCCAATGAATGAGGAATATGACCTTCCACTGTCTGTATCAGAGGACAAAGTGGTTACAGAAGCATTCCTTCTTGGTGTGAACATCACCAACATCTAGCTATCCCGTTTTCAGTTTTGATAGTAAAATGTTGACAGTTGAAGCAGTTTTTAAATTAAGTATTATTTTAGAGTAAGCTAAAAGTCTGTTTGGAATGGTAAGATTCTATTTATAAAATATTACGAATCATGCAAACCAGATGGCCATCTCTAAGTTTGGAATTTCTCAGACAGGTGCTAATCTAAAATTGTCTTCCTATTTCTCTCTTCAATTGCAGAGAAAGCTAAAAAAAACCGAAGTGAAACCTATAGAAAATGCTTCAAAGGCAAATGACAGTGATTTTGATCATAGCAATTTCTGTACAAGAAAAGGAGCTGACTTAAAAAGAAAATGCACTGAAACAGCTTCTATGTGAGAATGTTTTTGCTGGCATTGTGTTAAGTGAGGCACCTACCACACTGGTAGCTCACACAAGTACTTAGAGAAATAATAGGCTTTACTTTGCTGGAGGGGTAAATGTTGAAAAGTAATTACCAGAAAATCCTCATGAATATACAGTGATAGAATTACCAATGGTGCTTAAGATAATGGGTATCTTATAAATTATGTTTGTAGTGACTAGTGCTACCAATCTCTAAAATATGCAACATATCCTCTAAACACAAAAATGCCAGTGGATTTTTAAAATTATACCAAAGATCAAGCTAACTTGACACTATTTTAGATATTCAGTTTCTCTTCCACAACCCACTAATTCCTAAAATTCTTGGTTATTAATATATGGACCATAATAAGGCCTTATCTGCTTAGAAATATTAAACTGAGATTATGTCTCAGTTGGGTGAGTGTTAGTGTCAGCACAGAAGCACAGGTTGTTCAGAGCTAGAAGAAGCCTTGCAGATCACATAGCTGGAATCTGTAATTTTATAACTGAGGCCCCAAATGGTTTGGGATTTGCCAAATACCACTCAGTAAATTATGTGTCCTTGGGCAAGTTAAACTTCCCTGAGCTTTAGTGTCTTCATCTATAAAATGCAGATGTGAAAATTAAACTCATGGATGAAAAAAATATACTTAAAACTTCCTATTCATGGAAGTATACTAATATAAGTAATATTAATACAGTGACACATATATCAGGGACATATGCTCAAAAAAATTCCCAATAGAAACGCACAATGTTAACTGTGGGGACTAGTGAAAAAAGGCACCATCCCTGGGACCTGGTAGTGTTCATTTCACCCAAGTAAGTGTCAGATCGAGCACTCTTGCTCTTCTCACTATGCCATAGGTCTCCATCCAGAATCTAATGACCCCAAACCAGTCTAACTATGAAAGAAAAAGGGCTGAGTTGTCTGTATGGAGGAGCTTAAGCTACCTCTTACTTTTAAAGATGGTCCCTCTGAATTAGAAATGTGTCCCGTGATGGACCTGTATAGGCAAGCTCACATTATGGCTGCCTCCAGTGTACCTACTCTGTGACTAAACAAAAGAGGCCAGTTTCCTGGCTCTGCTAGCTTCTTTAAATGTTTAATATGCAAGTAAATGACAAAGGAATTTAAATGTTCTTATCTCTATTTTTAGTTTGCTAGTATGATTTAAACAAATTAACTGGGAAAATAAAATAAGAGAAATAAAAAGATGTTGTATAGCCTATAAATGCTACAAGTTTTTTTTACATTTTTGGGAGATTTGGAACTCTCTGGAGATCTTGTCTCAGTAAAAAATGTAGAATTCTTTGTGAGATAAATAAAAATAACCATTATTTGTATTGCTTTATATACACGCATGCATAAAGGATTCTCAATTGATATTGATATAATTTAAATTTTTTCTGGACTCACTTTCCCCATCTCCTTAGAGCTCTAAATATTTCAAAAGTGTTGGGGTGCCTGGGTGGCTCAGTCGGTTAAGCATCTGACTTCAGCTCAGGTCATGATCTCACAGTTCGTGGGTTCGAGCCCCGCGTTGGGCTCTGGGCTGACAGCTAGCTCAGAGCCTGGAGCGTGTTTCAGATTCCATATCTCTGTCTCTCTCTGACCCTCCCCTGCTCACACTGTCTCTCTCTCAAAAATAAATAAAACATTAAAAAACAAAAACAACAAAAAATGTAAAGTGTGTGTTATGTGCATGTGTGTTAGTGTATTTACACATATATGTGTGTGTGCATAATTAGAATATTATTGAAATTATTAAGTTAAAAGGTTAGTTTAGAATATTTCTAATCATACTAAATGGGTAGTTTAGATAGAAAATTGGCCATTATTTTCCTACCCATTTATATTGAACGTAATAGTAAAACTTTTATAGCTTACAAAACAGGATAGCTAAAATTAATCACCACCTGCCACAGGTTCTGTATATTAGAATAGCTCCACGTCAAGACTACCAATAAATTATTTTTAAGGTTTAGAGCATCTTTTTGTGTTTATTCTGGGGTATTTGTCTTTAAAAAAAGATACACTTAGGGGCACCTGGTGTTATGTGGCTCAGTCGGTTAAGCATCTGACTTTTGATCTCAGCTCAGGTTATGATCTCACGGTTCGTGAGTTCAAGCACTGCTTTAGTCTCTGCACTGACAGTGTGGGACCTGCTTGGGATTCTGACTTGGTCTCTCCTTCTCTCTGTCCCTCCCCCTCTTGTGCTCACTGGCTCTCTCTCTCTCTCTCTCTCAATATAAATAAACTTTAAAAAAATACACTTAGAGGCATCTGGGTGGCTCAGTCGGTTAAGCATCTGACTTTGTTCAGGTCATGATATCATGGTTCATGACTTCAAGCCCAGCATTGGGCTCTGTGCTAACAGCTCAGTGCTTTAAGCCTACTTTGGATTCTGTGTCTCCCTCTCTCTCTGCCCCTCCCCCACTCATGCTCTGTCGCTATCAAGAATAAATAAACATTTAAAAATTTTTAAAAATGTTTACAAATTTTAAAAATACAATTAAAAAATTTTTAATCAAAAAGTGTTAATGTTTTATTTATTTCTGAGAGATAGAGACAGTGTGAGCAGGGGAGGGTCAGAGAGAGAGGGAGACACAGAAGAGAGAGAGAGGGAGAAACAGCCTCCAGGCTCTGAGCTAGTTGTCAGCACAGAGCCTGACGCAGGGCTTGAACCCATGAACCGTGAGATCATGACCTGAACCGAAGTTGGACTGAGCCACCTAGGTGCCCCTAAAGTATTTTTAAAAATTAAATCAGATCAGTGGCTGCTTTGATGGGTGACTGATTGGGAAGGGTCACCAGGGAAATTTCTAGGGAGATAGAAATGCTCTGTATTTTAACAGGGATGGAGGTTACATTAGGTAAATGCACTTGCCAAAGCTGATCAAACTGTACAACTTAACATCTGAGGATTCTGTCATATGTAAATTATACTTAAATAAGAAAATTTTAAAGATAAATATATCAAGTTCTAAAATACTGAAAAATGTCTATCTCTTATAGAGTCAAGAAAGAAATCAGAAGGCAACTACAATGGAGTTGTGGCCATGAAAAATAGGAAAAGAGAAGGGTCTGAAAGATAGGAAAAAGAATTAACAGGATTTCATGTTTAAATGAATGTGGGAGTGATGGTGAGGCAGAAATCAAGAACTCCCAGGTTTGTGGCTTGAGCACCTAGATAGGTTGTGGTGCCATTTCCTAAAGCTGGGAATAATGGAGGACAAAAATATTAGGGGAAGGATAAACTAAGAAGTTAGGTTTTGCAAATGTTGAGACTAAAATGCCTATGAGTCATGCAAGTGACATTTAGGAGGCAGCTGGAGATAGAGATCTATGGCTGAGAAAACATAGGTCAGAGCTATAGGCAGGGGTCTGGAGTCACGGGGAAGGCTCAGGAGAGACACAGGGAAAAAGTTATAAAAACCAGGGCAAGCTGCTATCACTTAGAGAAAAAACTCAGAGTGAGAAAAGAGTTTAGGACTGAGCCCAGAGAATCTTCACTAGTTAATCTCTGGGTGAAAAAGGACAAGCT